AGAGCTAGAAGATAGAAGAGAGAGACAATCAGATTGATAAATCACAGGAAAAATATAGACAAATATTTTCTCATTCTAAAGAAAAGTACAGATCTTTTGTGTACAGTTCTTTTAGATCCTTAATGATCTAATTTTATTCCATAACAAATATGCATATATTTTTACCCCTGCTTATTTTAAAGTTTTGTAAATTCTCTAGCACAGAGGCTGTCTTCCTTGACACTTATTTGTATTGTAAGCAGCACAAGATGATCTGATCTTGGATTAGGATTCTTAAGAGCTACCATACTTTTAATGTAAAATATGCAAAAAAAGGTTAAAATTAATGTATGCCACAGAAGATTCACACAGGGATCTGAGTCTCTTCAATGCTATGAATTCTAAATGTGTGTTTTTCTTCTCTTCTCTGGGTTTAGAAGTATAAAAATAGCAAGGTTATTGCTTAAATTTGATGCACAAATATAAAATAAACTAGAACATCTCCATTACACATCCAAGATTAAAACTGTAACACCAGTGCACCCAGCAACACAGCAAAGTTTGTACTTGATGTTAAACCAATAAGGGTAGACTCTGAGGTCAAGCACACCACTAGGTAAAGCCTATAGTATGGTTTTTAAAACAGAACAGGCACTGCCTCCACTGCAGACTACCTTCATATATGTGTTTTGTGGCTAAGGGCCCAAACGAAGAAGAATATATCCACTGTTTTCTAGACAGTGCAAGCCCCACAAAGGTGCAGATATTTGACCTAATCTTGCATGCCTTTCTTTGACAAAATCCCCATCCGGGGGGAGAACAGAGTGCAGGATTGGGCCCCATTGGCTCTGTGGCAGGCCAGTCTATCCAGGGGGAAAATTATTCTGCAAGGCCAGAAAGGAAAGAAAACAACTTCTTCTCAGCCCCAGGCTGTGGAGATGCTGAGATGAAGGTGATAAGAGAATGCTTGTCAATTGGACTTGAGGCCATGAGCCTCAAATGCCATCTAACTGTCCACGTCCTCTCCTCTGCCCTGGCCTCCAAAACATCTGACCCTGTGGACCACCAATCTGCAGAGCCTCAGAGGGAAACAACTTCTCTCTTCTATTTCTGAACAAGCATCTTTAGCTGTTGGAAAGGGATATTCTCCCAACCCTGACTGCTAGAGAGGACAGCTACGGAACTGAACTTCTGCCAACAATTATGAGGTAGGCGGGAGAGGGAAAAGGAACAGTGCTGTCTTCTTGCTGATACATGTAGTGGGGGCTCACTTAAAAGAGCTTCACTGGTCATTGGATGTTTTCCCTTCTTCCTGCTTGAGACCTGCAGCCCAGATACAGAATGCTTGTCAATATTTCTTGAGCACATGTAGATGTGTCATGAGGAGATGTTATCACAAAAGGTCTTGTTACAGCAGATCTGTGAAAGTAGTGGGCTGCTGGCACAAAGACGCAGTTCCTATACACGCCTTCACTATTTTCCTGTTTGTCCCCCACTCCCCTTTTCACTCCCCCACATCCTTCCCCCACAGGCAAATTCCATAGGCACTGTTGCTTTTTATATCATACACTCAGGGAGGGAGCTGCAGCAACAAATCTCTTTGCCAAGAACAGAGGATTGGCAAACTCCTCCAAGTCTGCAGCAAGAAGCAGTGGCTTTAAATAGATCTGACTACAAGCTGCTGCTGCAGAATTGGCTCTAGGACCCAGTCAAGAGAAAGGTCATCAGCACAGGTCAAGCAACTAGCAGCCCAGCTGGGCTACATTCTACCTTCCTTGCCTCATTGCACTGCTAAGTCTGGTTGATTGTTTGAGAGGAGAAGGCCTGTATGGGAGAAATTGTTTTTGTGAATTGATTGTGTTTCTTGCAGTTACCTGACCTCTCCCAAACAGCATGTCTCTGGATCCTGCCTACAGTGTTAGGGCAGGGTTTATGAATGTTTAATTTGATTTTTGGCCTTTACACCCTCTTCGGCCTTCATAAAGAGGCATAAGAAAAATGTTTGGTTTGATTTTTGGCCTTTACACCCTCTTCAGCCTTCACAAAGTGGCATAAGAAGGTACCACTAGTCATTTGATATCTGAAGGGACCGTAATGTATTTGCACCATTTTCTTTTTATAGAGAGGGATGGACTGAATTCGGGATGTTTCTGTGTAAACAAATAAACGTTTAACATATAAGCAGATGCTTATTGGTTAACAGTGTGGATTACACACAGCAAAGCCACCTCCCGAGGAGCCAGTGGGCAAGGGCTGCCCACTCTGCTCCTGGAGAGCCATAAGTTTTATATTGCAGGGTCCACAGTGAGGGTAACCGTGTAACTGCTGAGATTTTCAGTGGTTACACAATTACTCTATTACACAATTTTTAACATCCCTAGACTGAACTGTAGTTGACCAGTTTGTCAACCACATTTTTTGGCACTCTGGACAGTGAATATAAGCACTGTGCATGAGGAGAAATGCCTCCTTACAACAAAATATTATCACAAAAATATCATCCTGCTAACACTGCTTTATTTGCCCAGTCTCTTGAAACTGGATTTTATTTACTAGATATCTGTCCTCGATACATTGTAGCTGCATATGAACTGTGTGTAACTATAGTTGTTCTACAGATGTTCAGGAAATTGGTTTCATTATATAACTAGAATGAAAAAATGTATTTGCTGCATTTTAGTTAGACACTGATCATCAGTGAATTCTGCCAGAAGAATTAGACATATTATCTAATACACATACACTTGTAACCTAGATGACAAAATGAATGGACCAAATCTTATCGTCACATAGGGAGTGGTGAGATGTAGCTTCCACAGAAGTCCATTAGCTGTGTATCCTTTCGATCTGAGCAAAGAACTGGGCCCAGCAAGGTGAAAATGACCATAAAGTTTCAGTTTTAGGCCTCTGACTCTGTGCTAGTAACAACAGCAAATGAAGAGACTTCCACAAGTCTTGAGGGGGGCCCTAAAAATCCCACTTTGCAACGGACTTCAGGTCTTCAAGCTCTCCAAAGGGGCATCTCTCCTCATGCATAGTGCTTATATTCAGTGTCCAGAGTGTCAGCAGCAGGAACGTCAAGAGGTTTCCAGTTTCAAATGAGGTCTATTAATTCCCTCAAATTAACTCCTTCTTTCTTACTGCCTTTTAGCTTTTGTTCCTTTGCCCTTTCTACTCCATTCTTACACTAACGGCTGAGTGGCTTGTTTTCCTGGTGGGTGATCTCTGTGTCTTTTGTTTGTGTGAATACATACCCAGCACCTTTGCTCCTGCTGGCTGGACTTCACCTGCCTTTGGTTTGAGGAGGAGCTATTGAAAACAGACACTACAGCAACATCTTTCCTCATTTGGCCTCCTTTTTGGTAAGTCTCTCAGGCCACCCTCATCTTGTGTAAGGCCCACCAAAAATGTTACTTATATGTAATCATCTTCTTCTGCTCCTCTCCAAAACCTGGAAACCATTTTGTCACATTTCTCTATATATGTTCTCATATTTTTACTGAAGTCCCACAACTGTTCCGAGGCCTTTGGAAAGCATAACACCTTACCTCTATCCTAATCTGCTAAACTCGTCTGTAAAATAATATAGAAAATCAAGTCATATGTGCTCCTGTGACACTAGCACATATTTTATGTAGGGTTTAATGCACTTTACAAACGGACTGTGTCAGTGTGGAGAACAGTGACACAACTTGTGGGAACTGTTTTAAAAATTAACAATTTCTTTTTCTTTTGTGTTCCCATGCACTGCAAAACAAGCAGGCATTTCACACAAACAGACCTAAAGAGAGGCAGAGCAGGAAATATCTACATCTGTACAATCTCTCCCACCGCAAGACCTGTTCCAAGCCCTGCTACTGCAGCAAGGTGGGGAAAGTCTCTTCTCACCACCACCACAGACAAAATGCCTTTATACTGATGCTTGTCTTTTTGCCACTTTTTCAGGTAATGAGACAGAAGTCAGCAGTGTGCTCGGTTCCCACCCTAAACTCAGGCTGTATCCACCACAGCCCAGCAGCTCTGGAGCCGTCGCTCGCTCCAGCGCTTTCAGCTTCAGGCTGAAAAGTTTGCCTATTGTTTCCACACGACTCCAGACTGGCAAAGCGTTCGCCCTCAGCAGTGAGAGGGGCTGCCTGTATTTCCAGCACGGGGCTGGGATTCACCTTGTGACTTCATTCCCTTGGGCTTAATCCCTGGTAGAAACAGCGGGAGAGAGGGGCAGACAGGACAGAGACAGAACGGAGGGAGGATACGGAGGTGGGGAGGGGGGACCGGCCAGCCGAGGGGAGAGGGGGACCCTGCGGGGTTTGTCCCAGCGTTCTCCCCAGTGGAGATCGGAGGAGAGGAACGCGCCTTGTCCCCTGGCGTGGGTCGCCTCGCAGGGACCAGGGTGGGAGGGGGAGACCAGCGTTTTCCGGCTGCGTGTTGCAGGACCAGGTAAAACATCAAAAGTGTGAACAAAACTAGCCACCGATTCAGCACGTTCCCCGGCGGCCCGAGGCAGGGCGATCTGGAAAGCAACTGCCCTCTGCCCCTAACCACAACCTGCCCTGCACAGTCTGGGGAGAGGGAGGAAT